TTTCCATTTCTGTGCTTACAAACCACAGATTATGATGATGCTGCAACTTTGCCTGGAGATTCTCCTCATGCCTACGAAGATCAACGTGCATTTCATAAACATTCACCCCAAAGGATCACTGCAATGCAGCGATCACAGGCCAGTGTGGTTGAAATTTATAAATACCAGTTTCCAACACTGAAAAAAAAGAGGCATCAAAGAGCAGTATTCAGCCACCAACAGCAAACTTTCTTCACCCGTTATAAGTTGCTGCATATAAAACTATGACATTTGAAGGGGTCGCCTTCCATTTGACAAGCTAGAGAACCCTTGCTACTGTTTTCCCTATTCCTCTTCCAATGGGAAGCATTGGATAGAAGCAATAAACTTGGTCTTTTTTTTTTTTTGGTAGCTAGGTTAGGAAGATTTATTTATTTAAAGGAGTTCCTGTCTGATGTTTTAATTCAGGCTCACAAGAAAACAATATTATAGAACTTAAATAAAAGGTCTCTTATCTATTGAGCTGACAACTTTTTTTCCAGAAACAGAGACATCCCTGCAATTGTGTACACTTACTTTTGTTAAGACACAAACTAATAGAACTGATGTACTGCACCAAGGAAACGTCAGCAGTCAGCCTTGGCGGCAGTACCTACACTGGTTTACCACAGAGAAAGAAACAAAAGCCTTTATTGAAAGAAGCCAAACAAAAACATAACAGCTTTCATTTCCCTACAGCATCACAGAAGGAAACAATCAGTTTTGAAAAGGACTTTTCCAAGTTATAAACTAGCGAAGGCCCTGTGATTTCAGAGATAACAGCTCCTCCTGGTGTGTCCTCTCAAGTAACTGGCAATCAATCAATGCAGCAAATTAAAGCCCTATTTAGTCTGACAGACTAACAGAAACAGGATATGATACAATACCTTTAAAAATCTGTTTGACAGCCAGCAGACAACTGTTTATGCTTTGTATATCAGGCCCAGTTTCACTAAACTTTATCCCAGCTATAGAGCTACAACTTTTGGAGGGCAGGAGTTTTAGTTTTGCAAAGCTCTATCACTTCCATCACTTTGAGAATACAAGTTTTCTTCTCACAGAAGACAGCTACATGCACTTGTACAGCCATGAAACATGCCCTTCCGTGCCCAGATGTATCTACCTGCACTTTACCTCAAATACTTTTGTCCAAACTCTTTCAGATTGCTGCCTAGTCTGGGCAGGAGGCAGGATGGTGCGTGTGGAGTGGTGCTGGTGCAGTAATGGCGAGAGAATTATGGGGAAGGTGGCAGAATTTAAGAGCTGTTTCACAAACTTAAACTTTCCTGGAAAAGACATCAGAGCTTTAAAACAATGCCAAGGGCCAAGCCATTTTGCTGTGTGAAATACAGTCCATTCCTTTGGCCTGGGTTGGAAGAGACCTTAAAGATGATTTAATTCCAAACCCTCTGCCATGGGCAGGGATGCCACACACTACACCAGGTTGCTCCAAGCTCCATCCAATCTGGTTTTGAACACTGCCAGGGATGGGGCATCCACAGCTTCTCTGAGCAACCTGTCCCAGTGCCTCACCACACTTACATTTCCTTAGTATCCTATCCTCTTTCGGTTTGGAACCAATCCCCTTGTCCTATCACTATGTGCTCTTGTCCTAGGCTCCTTAAGCCTAAAATGTCATATGCCATCCCTAGTCCTCCCCAGTGTAGTTAGGTTTGGGATATTATAACAAGTATCTCCTTTTTAGCTTGTATAACCAGATTTCCTATGTTAGGCCATCTGTCTTTGTAGCAAACACAGTCACTAGCTTTATAAAATTACAGTTGTTTCTAGAAAAAAAAAAAAAAGGTAAAAGCAAACA